GCCATGGCCTGTCAGAACCAGCCCAGCAGCGCCAGGGGGGTCTGAGAGCCCCGGGAGCCCAGCTCAGGGGTGCTGCGGGTTCAGCGGCTTCCCGGGCCCTCCGTGTCCCTTTGCCACGTTCTGGGGACGTGGCTGCCACGGTCTTGCCCCTGTGTGGTTCTCTAGGGGTAATGCCCCACAGCTGCTCCCTCCCTGCCCCTCTGCTCTCCTCCTGCCCCGGCAGGGGATGCTGGTGCTGGTGCTGCCGGCGTGGCCAGGTGGCCCCAGGTGTCTGGAAGAAGATGGAGGGATTGGGATGGGAAAAGACAAATCTGGGCAGCTCCTTGTGCCACACGGCAGTGCCACATTCCCCGGTGCCATGCTGGGCACTGCCCCGGCCCTGTATCCACTGGAAGGCTCCCTCTGTGGCAGTCCCAGCTGGGGGAAGCCCCTGCAGCTTCAGCTGCCCTGGGAACACGCTCTAGCTGGGAGGGAACCTTAAAAGTTCTTCTCATTTCAAACCCCTGCCATGAGCAGGGACACCTCCCACTAGACCAGGGTGTTCCAAGTCCCATCCAACGTGGCCTTGAACACTTCAAGGGATGGGGCAAAAGCATATTCTCCTGCTGAAGGAAAGATTGCTGAAGGGAAGATGCCTTCTTGCTCCCAGGAAGCGTGAGGTGGGACAGGGTGCTGATGGGCACTGGTGGGTGGGATGGCAGGCAGGGTGGGTTCCCTATGGAGCAAAGGGGTCCCCTCCTGAAGGATGGGGAGGAAGGGCAGTAGAACGTGTGGGGTGGCACCTGCAGGTGCCCCCCGGGCTCTGTGTCCCGGTGACCGAACCCGCAGCCCCCCCTCCCTCCCGCTTCACCGCGGCTCCTGCGGAAGCGCCGCCGGGGCTCGGGCTGGAGCCGCGGCCGCTGCAGCCACAGCCGAGCCCGGAGCCCGGCTCGGCCCCGCCGCCGCTGCTGCTCTGCCCCGGCGGGGCCCTCCCGCCTCCCTCGGGAGCGGCGGAGGCTCCGGAGCCGCTCCCGCAGCATCCGCTCCTGTCCTGCTGCGCATCCCAGGGCGGGCCCTGAGCCCGCCCAGCGCCCGGCGAGATCCCAGAGCCCGGGTGTTCGTCTGGCCCGCGCTGGCAGCCTCGCTGGGCGGTGTGGGAGTGGGGAACGCCAGAGTGGGTCCCCCCATTGTCCCTGCGGTGCTGAGGAAAGCGGGGTTCCCCCCCCCCCCAGCTGTCACAGACCACCCAAAAGCCCAAATGTGAGCCTGGATAGCTCAGTTGGGAGAGCATCAGACTTTTAATCTGAGGGTCCAGGGTTCAAGCCCCTGTTCAGGCGGTGGCTTTATCCTTTAGAAGCCCTGGGGCAGGAGCCGGCACCTCCTCGGGCCGGAGCGGTCCTGCCCGGGGCCGCTGATGCGGGGAGCATAGCCGGGGATTGTGGTTTCCATTAGTGAAGGGCGCTCGGGTGCCCCAAGTGACTTCAGGCAGAGTTCTTAAAGTTTAGATTTCTGCTGGCAACTGCTTTTTTTCTGCGTGACAGCCTCCGTGAAGATACTGATGGGACAGGAGCATCTCTCCTGGGAGGGAAGCCAGGCTCTGTTCAGTGGTGCTCAGTGCCAGAGGCCATGGGCACGCACTGGAACACAGGAGGCTCCAGCTGAACCCTGATAGTGTCAGGAGAACCTTTTCACCCGAGGGTGATGAGTGGAAGTTTCCCAGCAGAGCCCTGCATCACTTTAAGGGAATTCAGTTCATGACCTGTGGGGCCACCACACTGCCTCAGCCAAGCCCTGGACTGCCCTGGAGGTGTACAGACGCTTCAGGATATTTTTGCAAAATAGAAGCTCTTTTAACGGAAAATCAAACAATTTTGGATTAAAAATATCCCCTGTCCTTTGTAAAATTTTTAAAATGTTTTTCAACCTGAACATACATCAGTTGTTCAAGCATAGTAAATTATTTTTCAGGTAAGTTTAGTGGCCTTACACCTCACACTGACTTTCTGTGGAAACAAAAAAAAAAAAAGAGGAATGAGAAGTTATGTATTTCCTTGTGTTTCTGCTGCTCAGCTGGGTAAAAGTGGGGCAGGCACTGCTGCTGCTAATGGGCAGCTTCTCCAGATGTTTGCCTTCTCTTCCTCCTGTCCTATCTTTAGAACAGAAAAAAAATGGTTTTTTTAACTTTCCCTAACTGAAGAGACATGTGTATTCAGTAAATGAATGTTGGAGGAATGCAAAGTCATGTAAGTAAATGCCCTATAAACTGTAAATCCTAAAAGTAAATATGCAATGATTTTTTCCCCCTTCATTTCTTGCTATGGATAAGATATAGAAGAAAATAAATCTATTTTGTGCTAGAAAAAAATCTCACCCTTTCCTTTTCCCAAGCACCAGCGCTGCAGACCCCTGAGCCCCTTTGCCTGAGTGCTGCAGCCTCCTGCTGCTCTCAGATGCCCCAGGATGAGCCGAGTCCCTCTGCTGGGGTGGCACCTTCCCTGTGCCACCCCTTTGTCACTCGTTCTCTGAAAGCCGCCGGCCAGAGCGAGTTCTGCGGCTGTCAGGAGAGGGCACCAAGCCCAAGCAAACGGGGTGACTCCATCGAGGCTCCAAAGGGTAAAGGCAACAGGCTGAGGCCTCTCCTGGTGCACCCTGAGATCTCCATCTGCTTCTTGGTGCCCGTGAGACCTCGAGTTCCCAGACCTGCGGCGTGTCAGGGTCACCCCTCAGCTCTGGGTGGGTTTTGCCTCTGCTGTGAAAGCGTCCCTGGAGATCCTGCAGCCAAAATCCTGCTGCCCTGGAGCGGGGAGTGCCAGAGCAGGACTTTAATCTGGTTATCTGCCCTCTGCTGTGGCAGGTCCGTCATGCCCGGGGGGCCCGGAGCTGAGCAAGTTCTGCCTCCCACCTCCTCACTCTGCAGGGTCCCCGCAGCACCTTCTGGTCCTCTTTCTGCAAAACTCTGAGGAAGTGGAACGTTGGGCAAATTCCCCTAAATTCTCAAATTTGCCTGAAAAATGGAGAAGCTGGAGTGCTTTCCCAGAAGTGCCACTGCAGCCTCACTGGTGACACCCTGCACAGTGACTGCAGGTCGGGAAATGATGGTTGGTATGAGTCTGGCCACTCTCGGACCACCCAAACTTGTGATCCCCTGCCAGGGCTTGACATCTTTTCAAACCCCTCAGAGCTGCCTCCCTCCCTCCCGGCTGGGGACAAAAGTTGCTGTGACTCGGATTCGAACCGAGGTTGCTGCGGCCACAACGCAGAGTACTGACCACTATACGATCACAGCACAGGGGCCCTGCCACCCGCCGGCTCCACGACACTGCGGGAGCGCGGTGGGCACTGTCCCCACACTGTCCCCATCCCTGCACCGCCGTTACCACAGCGGGGACTGTCCCCGAGCACTGTCCCTTCCCCTGGTACCGCCACCCAGCACCGCGGGGACTGTCCCCGAGCACTGTCCCCTCCGCTGGCACCACCACCCAGCACAGCGGGGCCTGTCCCCGCACTGTCCCCATCCCTGGCACCGCCACACGCCGGCAGCACCGCGGGACCTGTCCCCGCACTGTCCCCTCCCCTGGCACCGCCACCCAGCACAGCCTGGCCGGCAAATCCCGTTTAACTGAGGAGGGTACGGATGGATTTGGCAGTGTAGGATGGGGCCCTGAGTTGTGCAGAGCACTGGCAGTGCTGGGGTGGCACCAGGACATGACACTGCTGCAAGGGGCCTCAGGCAGTGGGGCCACCATCCTATAATACAGCCAAGTCAGGGTTATAATAATTTCAGTGATACAAGAGGTGAGGAATCAATGAATTAATTTTAGCATCCTGTGTGATATGACAAATTTGAGGGAACTCAGTTAAAAATGCAACAAATGGCACAATGGTCTCCATGGGGAGCTGAGTGGTGCTGTGGGGAGGATACTGTCAGGGAGGTCTGGGTAACCCAGAATGTCCCTGATCCCCATCATCCACCATCCCCAGGGTCCCACTGCCACCTCCTGCCTGATCATGATACTTCTCCGTGTTTGCTCCCCAATTTTGTGCCTTCAGAATTGTACTTTGGTCACTCCAGAGCTGCGTTTGCTGCTCCTGGCCCTGGTGCAGCTTGGCTTTAGTGCTGGTGGTGAAGAAAGGACCCTGTGGGGGTGAGAGCTCCCTGCTCCACATCCAAGGCAGCCCACAGCCAATGGGAACCATCCCACTGCTCCTCCCCACCCTTCCATGCGCCACAGGACACACAGTGGGGGACCCCCAGGGTCCCCACGGACCCCGAGGTCCTTTGTGCCCATCTGGTCCCACACCCCACTCCATCAGCCCCATGGTGAGTCCCAGAGGACCTGTGGGCACCTCTGGTCATCACTGGAGCCTCCAGTGCCACGTGTGCCCCATGGAAATGTACACAACACCAAGAGCCAATCCTGCCTCCACACACCAGCTCACAGCAGGGAGCAGAGCTGCCAAGAAGAGAGGTGCAGATAGGATTTAACAGGAACACAGAATAGGTTCCCATCCCTGAGAGGGCTCAAGACTGCACTTGAGATTTCTCATTTGAGGCCCTGGTCTTCATGAGTGTGTTTTGACTACCTTGATCCCCAACAGGGCATCAGGTTTTGTCTTCCTGACCTATGTGGTAGAGGAGCTGACAATCAGCAGGGCCCTGCTTGCACTTTGAACAGGAAAATGAGAAAGGAATCACTGAGAGGAGTGCCTGAGTCATTGTAAGGTTGTGCTGCCACTCTGAGGGAGACCTTTGGGACGAGCCCAGGGACAAATTCCTATCAGGATGGTGTCTGGGTCCCCAGTTAGACAAGAACGAATACTCAGACCAACCCAGTTCAATGATATGCAGAAATAACTGAGAGGAACTCTCAAAGCACCAGTGAGGATTCTCAGTTAATAGAAGATCAAGGGAAGGAGGCTCACACAGTGCTAATTGTTTGTGGAAACTCATTTACTAAGGGACAGGTAAAACATGGTGCAGGCAGCAAAGGTCCTCACAGTCGGAATCCTGAATCAGCATCTCACCAGGGCACGACCTTCCCTTCCCAGTCCAGGAAGGCCCCAGTCTCCTTCTCAGAGATGGAGGACAGCACCTTCAGCATCCCTTGCACGCTGTCATCCACTGTCAGGGGAGGCTGTGGGGCAGAGAGAGAGACAGCTCTGTGCTCAGGGGTCTGCCCTGAAACACATCATTGCTCTGGGCAAGAAGCATTCCCAGTCCTCATCCCCCTCCCTCCCATGCCTCCAGGGTATCTGCCCAGAAGTTCTCATACAGCCCAGCATGAGACCCCAGCAAATTCTACATTTCAAAATGATGAGGCTCTGCCAGACCATGCACAGGAGATCCCTTACCTTGAATGATTCTCCTCCACCCCCCATATCAGTTTGCACCCAGCCGGGGTGGAAAGTGATGCAGAGGATGCCGTGCTCCTTGTACGCCAGGGACTGGCACTTGCTCAGCATGTTCAGAGCAGCCTGAGGGGAGAAAATGCGGGATGATGCTGGGAGGGGAAGGGGGGCTGCAAGGGGAACATGTGCACACCCCACACCTAGGGCAGGGATTGGGCAGAGGGGGCCACCCTCACTATCCCTGTGTGGATGCCCAGCCTAGATGAAGTCCCACTATATCATGTCCGTCTGAGGTGGGAACCAGGGCCAGGCACATAACTGAGCTGTGATGGGCACCCAGGGACTGGCAGGACCTCAGACACAGCATAGAGAGTGGCACAGACTGAGGGGGAGGTTGCTAGGCAGTGTGATCATTCGGAGGTGAAAATGTCAGAGCCCAGCCCCAGCAAAATCTGGCAGTACCTTGCTGCAGCGGTAGGAGACAACTTGTCCAAACTCCCACACAAACATGGTGTCAATGGAGCCGGCAATGCTGGACATGTTGACGATGGCAGCCTTATTGCAGCTCAGCCCTGAGCCTGGGCTCCCCTGGGCAGCCTTCTTCAGCAAGGGCAGAAATGCCTGTGAGGAGACAGAGGGGACAGGAGCACACATGGACACAGCACAGGGCCGGGGAGAAGCTCCTTCCACAGTGGGCAACATGGACACCAGCACTGGGGGGCATCCTCCCTCCTCTTCCCTGCCAGGCTCCAGCTCCTGAGCTCCAGCCCATGGCTCCACAAGCTTCTCATCAACTGAGAGCCCATCAGGGCACCAGAGCAGCGACAGCAGGAGCCACTCCCACTGGCCCTTCACTCCCTCTGTAATGTCCAGCTTGCACACATGGGAAGGGATCCTTCTGGAGCCAGTGCTGGGGACTCACCTGGCCCATCAGCAGGGGTCCAACCGTGTTGGTGGTGTAAACCTGTATCATATCCTCTGGTGTTTCATTATCAAGGGAGCATGGCTTTGCAATTCCAGCATTGTTGATGAGGAGGTTGAGCCCAGAGCCCCCCAGGTGCTCCCCAACCTTGGCTGCAGCTGCCTTGATGCTGGCGGGGTCAGAGACTTCTGCAGAGCCAACAGAGGGAGGTCAGAGCCTGTGTCCCCATGCTGGAGTCCCCTCTGTTTCCCCAGAGGTGGCAGTGCCCGATGGCCCTGCAGGCACCAGCCCATGGCACAGCTCCCTCCCAGCACGGGGCTCCCAGGGTGTGCCCAGCCTGGGCACTCGCCAGAGGAGCTGGGGCAAAGGATCCGCACTCGGGGCACCTACCGAGTGGGATGATGATGATGTTGGGGTGCTTGGAGGCCAAATTCTGTAACTCCTGAAAGAGAGGGCACTGTGTAGGCATGGAGAGGCTGGAGGGGCTGTGCAGAGGCTCAGCTGTTCCCAGCTACTCCACATTGCTCTGGCTCCATCCCTGCACTACTGTGGACCCACACTATGCTCCAGCTGCCCTGAACCCAAAGGTTGGGGAGTTCTCCATGACCAAGTAGCACTGTTCCCTCCATGCACCCCATGCACCCCATGCACAGCTGCTCCCATGTTGTCTCAGCCCAGCTGCCCTGTGCCACACGTGCCCAGCTGAAGCTCCAGCCCCTTGCAAGCACCATCCCTGTTCCAATCTCCCCCTGGCACCGAGTGCTCCCATCCCTCAGCACAGCCCCTGCCTCCTGCCCAGTCTCACCTGTGCTCGCTGTCCCTTGGGGTCCCGACAGGTCGCAAAGATCCACTGAGGTGGGTTTGGCATCCTCAGGAAATGCTGGACAAACCCCAGGCCGATGCCTCGGTTGGCCCCGGTCACCAGAACGGAGCGGACGTGGAGCCCTGCCATGCTGCTTGTCCTCCTCTGCTCCAGCTCTCACTGTTTGCTCTGCTCTCTCATAGTTCCTTTTAGCTTTTTCCAGAGGCCCCACCCACTCAGGGTTTACACCAACCCTTGGATCCAGGAGGAGCAATTGCACCTGCCCTTCAAACTCCAGGCCATTCATCCTGGCTGGGATCCACGCCTTGTTTCCAAAGGGCAAAAACCCTTGGCAGTCTCATGCAAAATTCTGCTGTCCTTGGGAAACCTAGGGCCATAAACCATGAGAGGTTTATGTTGTGGCTGAGGAGGGAAGGAGCAGCATGTGGGAAGCTCCAGGGTTCAAGTGGGCTTGACACCTTCACAAGAAGGGCTTCCTGCATCAGACCCACACAGCACTGGGCACAGGCTGATCTTATCACCCTGCCCCGATCCCCTGGGCCAGGACATTCCTCACACGGCCACGAGCAGACACTCTCTGCCTTGAGCTGGCCTCCTCCAAGCCACTGCCCATTCCCTGATGGTCAAGTGAAACAACACTCCCATGCAGGGAAGCACACCCAGAGGATCCAGTCTCCTGGCAGAAGGATGGGCACCTGCATGGCCAGCACATCACCAGCTGCTGGCCTTTAACTCCAGCAAGACACAAACTGCAGGCTTGGCACATCTTCATGCAGCATCTGTGTCCTTGCAACAGGAACTTCTGCCACTCCTGGAGCAGGCAGCCAAGGCAAGGAAGGTCTGAGCTGCAGCAGGGCCGCTGTCATCAACATCTCCTCCAAGCTGGGCTCCATCGGGCTGTGCCTCCACATGCCACAGGCCCCCATGTACCCGTACCGGGCCAGCAAGGTGAGCTGCCAGGGGAGGTGCTGGAGATGCTGTCCCAGGCACGGTGCCCATGCAGGGGAGGGAGCCCCTGGGTCATCCCCTGCCCCAGCCACCCATCCCCTGCCTGGTTCTCCCAGGTGGAAGCACAGAGACTGGGACAGCAGCAGCCAGGACTGAGCCTTCCAGGAGGGTCGTTCAGGTGCTTTGTCCCAGGACTGAGTCCCCATTTGTCATCTCCACAGACATTTTGTGGCTATGAAATGTCTCCTCTCCTGCCCACCCACTCCCGGGGTTGTGCTGGCAGGGCTGTGCCTCTTCCAGGCTGCCCAGGACGTGGGGATGAGGTGTTTGGGTGTGGAGCTTCCAGAAGAGAAGGGCTTGGGAAGCAACTTCTGTCTCCTTCCCCAACCCACCTGTGCTCCCTCTGTACCCCTCACTCTGTAAACTCTGGCAGCTGATGTCTTTCTGCTCTGTCCCCACACCCAGTCTCAAACCCCTGTCTGAGCCCATGGCAGGATCCCTGTGCTGTGCCCGAGCTCTGTGTGTCCCTCTGTCCCACCTGTGACCAGGCATCCCCCAGCTGAGGGCAGAGGGCAGCCGCTCCCTGTGCCCCCCAGCCCCTCAGGCAGCTCAGCCTGGGCAGGGGAAAGCCAGTCCTGCAGGGGCTCAGAAGATCTCTCTCCTCTCAGGAGAGGGCCCAGCTCCAGCTCCTCCAGTGCCTCCTGGAGGGGAGGTCTCCAGAGGGCACTCACGCTGCCATGGGAGCTGCTGGCTGGAGCTCATGGGGGTGCCAGTGACAGCCGTGGGCTGGGGCAGCTCTGGGCACCACCAATCCCCAGGGCAGGAGTGGGATATCTGGAAAGGGCCACCCCATGAGCTGGCACTGCACAACAGAGCTGGGGGTCTCAGCAGGAGTTTATTGAGGATGTGGGGGAGGTGGGAGCAGTGCCAAAGGGACCTCTGGCTGCCAGGATCCTGCAGTGGTGTCTCACCAGGGGATGACATTCCCTTCCCAGTCCCGGAAGGTGCCGGTGTCCTTCTCAGAGAGGGAGGAGAGGACCTTCAGCATTCCTTGCACGCTGTCATCCACTGTCACTGGGGGCTGTGGGGAACAGGAAGAAACAGTTCTGGGCCTGAGGCCCTGGTCCAGCAAGGCTGGAAGAACGAGTCACTCCACGGCACAGGGGAAAGCTTAAATTCCTGAACAACCAGCACAGAGGGGCCAAGGAGGGAACTGAGGGGATGGGGACACCCAGCACCCAGGATGGGGGAGCTGCTCCAGCAGGGATTGGGCAGGCAGGGAAGCCACGGGCAGGGGCTCAGGACAGCAACTCCCACCGATGCAAAATCAGCCCAGGAGCTCTGATGGACCCGCCCCGGGGGAATTCCTACCGCGTGTCCCGCAGCGCTGCCCATGTCGGTTTGCACCCATCCGGGGTGGAGAGCGACGCAGAGGATGCCGTGCTCCTTGTACGCCAGGGACTGGCACTTGCTCAGCATGTTCAGAGCAGCCTGAGGGGAGACGATGCAGGGGAGACGATGCAGGGACGGTGCTGGGAGGGGAAGGGGGGCTGCAAGGGGACCCGCAGCTGGGCAGGGAAAGCAAAGCTGTGACAGTACCTTGCTGCAGCGATAGGAGACAATTTGTATCAAGTCCCAACCAAAGGCAGAACCGATGGAGCCGCCAATGCTGGATATGTTGACGATGGCAGCCTTGCTGCAGCTCAGCCCTGAGCCTGGGCTCCCCTGGGCAGCCTTCTTCAGCAAGGGCAGAAATGCCTGTGAGGAGACAGAGGGGACAGGAGCACACATGGACACAGCACAGGGCCGGGGAAAAGCTCCTTCCACAGTGGGCAACATGGACACCAGCACTGGGGGGCATCCTCCCTCCTCTTCCCTGCCAGGCTCCAGCTCCTGAGCTCCAGCCCATGGCTCCACAAGCTTCTCATCAACTGAGAGCCCATCAGGGCACCAGAGCAGCGACAGCAGGAGCCACTCCCACTGGCCCTTCACTCCCTCTGTAATGTCCAGCTTGCACACATGGGAAGGGATCCTTCTGGAGCCAGTGCTGGGGACTCACCTGGCCCATCAGCAGGGGTCCAACCGTGTTGGTGGTGTAAGTCTCAGTCATGTCCTGCAGCATCTCATCATCAAGAGACTTTGCCTTCAAAACTCCAGCATTGTTGATGAGGAGGTTGAGCCCAGAGCCCCCCAGGTGCTCCCCAACCTTGGCTGCAGCTGCCTTGATGCTGGCGGGGTCAGAGACTTCTGCAGAGCCAACAGAGGGAGGTCAGAGCCTGTGTCCCCATGCTGGAGTCCCCTCTGTTCCCCCAGAGGTGGCAGTGCCCGATGGCCCTGCAGGCACCAGCCCATGGCACAGCTCCCTCCCAGCACGGGGCTCCCAGGGTGTGCCCAGCCTGGCCACTCGCCAGAGGAGCTGGGGCAAAGGATCCGCACTCAGGGCACCTACCGAGCGGGATGATGATGATGTTGGGGTGCTTGGAGGCCAAATTCTGTAACTCCTGAAAGAGAGGGCACTGTGTAGGCATGGAGAGGCTGGAGGGGCTGTGCAGAGGCTCAGCTGTTCCCAGCTAAAACCCACATTGCTCTGGCTCCATCCCTGCACTACTGTGGACCCACACTATGCTCCAGGTGCCCTGAACCCAAAGGATGGGGAGTTCTCCATGACCAAGTAGCACTGTTCCCTCCATGCACCCCATGCACAGCTGCTCCCATGTTGTCTCAGCCCAGCTGCCCTGTGCCACACGTGCCCAGCTGAAGCTCCAGCCCCTTGCAAGCACCATCCCTGTTCCAATCTCCCCCTGGCACCGAGTGCTCCCATCCCTCAGCACAGCCCCTGCCTCCTGCCCAGTCTCACCTGTGCTCGCTGTCCCTTGAGGTCCCGACAGCCTGCAAAGATCCACTGAGGTGGGTTTGGCATCCTCAGGAAATGCTGGACAAACCCCAGGCCGATGCCTCGGTTGGCCCCGGTCACCAGAACGGAGCGGACGTGGAGCCCTGCCATGCTGCTTGTCCTCCTCTGCTCCAGCTCTCACTGTTTGCTCTGCCCTCCCATAGTTCCTTTTAGTTTTTTAAACATCCCACCCACTCAGGGTTTACACCAACCCTTGGATCCAGGAGGAGCAATTGCACCTGCCCTTCAAACTCCAGGCCATTCATCCTGGCTGGGATCCACGCCTTGTTTCCAAAGGGCAAAAACCCTTGGCGGTCTCATGCAAAATTCTGCTGTCCTTGGGAAACCTAGGGCCATAAACCATGAGAGGTTTATGTTGTGGCTGAGGAGGGAAGGAGCAGCATGTGGAAGGAATGTGGGAAGCTCCAGGGCTCACATGGGCTTGACACCTTCACAAGAAGGGCTTCCTGCATCAGACCCACACAGCACTGGGCACAGGCTGATCTCACCCCCTGCCCCGATCCCCTGGGCCAGGACATTCCTCACACGGCCACGAGCAGACACTCTCTGCCTTGAGCTGGCCTCCTCCAAGCCACTGCCCATTCCCTGATGGTCAAGTGAAACGACACTCCCATGCAGGGAAGCACACCCAGAGGATCCAGTCTCCTGGCAGAAGGATGGGCACCTGCATGGCCAGAACATCCCCAGCTGCTGCCCCAGCCACCCACCCCTGCCTTGTTCTTCCCTGTGGAAGCACAGAGGCTGGAGCAGCAGCAGCCAGGACTGAACCTTCCAGGAGGGTCATTCAGATGCTTTGTCCCAGGATGAGTCACATTTCTCATCTTCACAGTCATTTTCTGCCTAGGAAGTGCCTCCTCTCCTGCCTGGGAAATTTCTCTCCTCCTGCCCACCCACTCCCGGGGTTGTGCTGGCAGGGCTGTGCCTCTTCCAGGCTGCCCAGGACATGGGGATGAGGTGCTTGGCTGTGGAGCTTCAAGAAGAGAAGGGCTTGGGAAGCAACTTCTGTCTCCTTCCCCAATCCACCTGTGGTCCACATGCATCCTCCACCTCTAAAAATTCTGTCAACTGCTGCCTCTCTGCTCTGTCTCCACACTCAGTCTCCACAACCAGTCTCCTCTCCAGTGCCTCCTGGAGGGGAGGTCTCCAGAGGGCACTCACGCTGCCATGGGAGCTGCTGGCTGGAGCTCATGGGGGTGCCAGTGACAGCCGTGGGCTGGGGCAGCTCTGGGCACCACCAATCCCCAGGGCAGGAGTGGGTATCTGGAAA